TTCTGCTCCATAACTCACCCCACTAACAGCCATTTAGTGATGACAATAAGTGAGAGGAAATGGTAAAACAATTGTAACTTTTTGGGCAACCTTTATGCCAATTACTCCCACTTAATCCTCATCTTTAATTCCATTTCATCTGATATTTGAAGAGGTGTCAGCTGGCTTGTTCTTGGCTGCATTAGTTTTGGCTGCTAGTTTTATTGGATTTATTGCCTTCAATGCAGTTACAAACTGCTCAGCGTCTTGGAAACCTTTCAGTGTTAAAACGGCCATAACTTCTTCTAGAAAAATGATATTAACAATCCACGAAATGCTCCAAAAAATAGACATCTGTAGCTTTCCAAGCATATAAGACTAATTCTCTAATTCATTCTGAGCTGCTCGGAACTTGCTTCCAAAGTCAGCTGATTTGCACAGGCAGTTTTGACGAATTTGTTACTTAATATCCAACTTGTGCTATTTTTCTTTTCTTTGCTTGACAAATCCTAGAAAACACAAAAACAAAGTAAATAGCTCAAAAATATAAGGAACTAACTAAGAAAAGACAAGTGAATTTGACGTAAAGTATATATAAATATGAGTTTATCAAATACCCCCACACTTAGTTTTTGCTAGTCCTCGAGCAAAACGAAGAAAATATGAAAAAGTAGCAACATGAAAAACAATAGCTTCCCCCTATGTGACCCTCATAGAATTCCATTCAAGAAAACAAATCATCAAGAATCTTAGCTAGCACCAAACAAGCTAATCCAAATTCATCTTCCTTATTCAAATGTTAGCAGTAACCTTTTAATCATCCATGAAGTGTAGTGTGTGTAATAGTCATGCTAATGCAATTTCAAGTTTTTTTTTAAAAACACCACATGCTAACTAGTGATCTTCTCACGGGACATACACTCAATCACACATATGTTTAGTTTAACGTGTTTCGCTCAAAGAATCAAATGTGAAAGATCTACCATAAGCTTGCATAAAGATCTCATCTCCACAATCATAATTGCAAAAATTAAATCAAGAGGACCTTTATTGGATGTAATGAGGCTTAGGGAGAGGGATATAGAAATAAAGGGATAGGTAAACACAAGTTCCAAGCTACATTGCAAGCAATTCTCTTGTTGAGATTTATAAGAACTCAAGCTCTCCAACCACTCTGCTAATACCTCCAACCACACCCCTAAACTGAAACTTAAAAAAAACTTTTTATTTGCTTTGTATACTTTTTTTTTTTTGAACCAATTTTGCACATAACTAAATACAAACATGAAATACCCCCACACTTATTCTTTTTCCAAACTCCTTCAAAGTACTTCACAAATATTTCTCATAAGACAATCTCACATTGCTCACTAGCTAGCTTGGAAAGGGTAAGGAAAAATGTTTAAGGTATAAGGATAGACATATCTGGTGATAAGAAATAAAAGGCTCAACATATACGGCTCAAATTGGCAATTTAATGATATTAATTTTCTTTTGGAAACATGCTTATTTGGGCCATGGTGATAAACCTAATGCCTCTATCATTTTCAAGTTCATGCAATCAAATGACAAACATTTCGAAAGATCGTTATGCAAGTTCTAGAGATGTAAGTCACATAAGTTCATCACACATGAAAGAATATGAGTGTATGAAAAATGCACACACTTTCAATAGGCTCAAAAACTCACATAGGTTGTATATGGTCACTATATTCACATGCGAAGTTTTAAGTCATACTTTAGTTTCACATCAACAAGGCTATGTGCATTTGGTTTTTCAAAGATGATTAAACATGTACAAGGCTAACAAGAGAATAAGGAATTTCACACAACACATGCTTACTAAATTCTTGATCCTTGTAGTTCAAATTCAATCCAATTATATCATTGGGTCGGGAAACTAACAAAAATCTAATTCAAAGTAATAAAGAAAATAAGACAATATTTTTTGGATTTTCACATTTTTTTTATTTTTTTATTTTTGGTTTATTTTTTAGAGTAAACAAAACCAATTAAGAAAACAAAAAGCAACAACAAGGAAACAAATCAAACCAATTCTTAGTCAAAGGGATGAACATTTTCAATTTGGTCATTTTTTAGATCCTTACCCCCAAACCTAAACTGGACATTGTCCTCAATGTCAGAAAATGAAAATGAAAATAAAATAAATAATAATAAACAAAATAAAGCATTTAGACTGAAAACTTCCCCAATTTGCAGTGAAAGCAAGCGATGACCCCCAAACTTCAATTCTACAATCAACTCCAAGGGTAGACATAACCAAATATTCCTACAAAGAAACGAAATAATTCAGCTTAGCACACAAGAAAATTCAGAAAAAGCAAACTAAAAATTGAAAATGACATAAAAAGACAATGAATAGAAATATTGGGTTGCCTCCCAATAAGCGCTTGCTTTTACGTCCGCAGCCGGACGGTACCAAGAGTAATCATCCAAAGGGAGCTGGTTCTTGGAGGGGTACAACCTCCACATCATGCTCCGTAAAAGACTCGTAATATGGCTTGAGTCTATGCCCATTCACTTTGAACACATTTCCGGTCTTCGCACTTTGGATTTCCACTGCACCATAAGGAAAAATATTATTTATAACAAACGGACCAACCCATCGAGAACGAAGCTTACCTGGAAATAACCGAAGGCGAGAATTAAATAGAAGAACTTTCTGTCCAATGACAAAGCTCTTCCTTGATATCATCTTGTCATGAAATGCCTTTGATTTCTCCTTGTATATTCGATTAGACTCGTATGCATCATTCCGGATTTCGTCTAACTTATTCAATTGAAGCTTTCTATGCTGTCCGGCAACACTCATGTCCATGTTGTAGACTTTGATCGCCCAATAAGCTTTGTGTTCTAACTCTACTGGAAGATGGCATGGTTTCCCATAAACTAACCGAAATGGGGACATTCCAATATGAGTCTTATAAGCAGTCCTATAAGCCCACAATGCATCGTTTAAGCGCATGCTCCAATCCTTCCTACTGGGACTCACAGTTTTCTCCAAAATTTGCTTCACCTCACGATTTGATACTTCTGCTTGACGACTAGTTTGCGGATGATAAGGTGTAGACACCTTATGTGTGACATTGTACTTCCTAAGCAACGCTTCAAATGTTCGATTGCAAAAGTGACTCCCTCCATCGCTGATGATTGCTCTAGGTGTTCCAAATCTCAAAGATGTTAGTCTTAATAAAATCTGAAACAACTTTTGAATCATTAGTTTTAGTGGCTTTCGCTTCTACCCATTTAGAAACATAATCAACAGCCAATAAAATGTAAAGAAAACCATTTGAAGATGGAAAAGGTCCCATGAAATCAATGCCCCACACATCAAAGATCTCAACAACCAAAATAGGGGTTTATGGCATTTGATTTCTTGGGCCTAAATTACCTGTTCATTGACAACGATCACATGTTGCACAAAACTCGTACGCATCCTTAAACAAACTAGGCCAATAAAAACCACTCTCTAACACCTTAAGAGCTGTCCTCTTTGCTCCAAAATGGCCACCACATGCATAAGAATGACAAAAAGTTAGAATAGATTTAAACTCAGATTCGGGGACACAACTTCTAATCAATTGATCAGTGCAATATTTCCACAAATAAGGATCATCCTACACGTAGTATTTGGCGGTTTTGACAAGCTTATCTTTTTGAACATGTGTAAAATCATCCGGAATCCTTTTGATGACCTTTTAATTGATAATATCTGCATACTAAGGGTCAGTAATCTTTAATGAAAACAGTTGCTCATCTGGAAAATTTTCACGTAAAGGGATGAGATCTTCCTCTGTGTTTGAATGCACAAGTCAGCTAAGATGATCTGCTACAACATTCTCACTCGCTTTCTTATCCTTGATCTCCAAGTCAAACTCTTGAAGTAGAAGTATCCATCGAATGGGTCGCGGTTTTGCATCTTTTTTTGTGAATAGATACTTCAAAGCTGCATGGTCAGAAAACACAATAACTTTAGTCCCAATCAGATAAGATCTAAATTTTTCTAAAGCAAATACAACAGCTAGAAGCTCCTTCTCTGTTGTTGAATAATTCAACTGTGCATCATTGAATGTTTGAGATGCATAATAGATGACATGTGGCACTTTGTTGACACGCTGCCCTAGAACTGCACCAACAACATAGTCTGAAGCATCGCACATCAACTCAAAAGGTAAACTCCAATCTGGTGGCATGATCACAGGAGCCGTGGATAACAACTCCTTAAGCTTGTTGAATGCTACCACACACTCTTCATTCATATCAAATGTTACATCCTTTTGAAGTAAACGGCACAAGGGTCTAGAAATCATTGAGAAGTCCTTCATAAACCTACGGTAGAAACCTGCATGTCCAAGAAAAGAACGAACCTCCATGACAGTAGTAGGGATGGGTAAAGAACTAACAAGTTCTACTTTAGATTTATCAACTTCAATTCCCTTTTTAGATATGATATGCCCTAGAACAAATCCATGCGAAACCATGAAATGGCATTTTTCCCAATTTAACACCAGATTAGTTTCTTGACAACGTTTTAAAACTAGGGACAGATTATGTAGACATGTATCAAAAGAATCACCATAAACTGAAAAATCATCCATGAACACTTCAATTATTTTCTCAATCATATCAGAAAATATACTTATCATACACCTTTGAAATGTGGCGGGAGCGTTGTAAAGTCCAAACGGCATCCTTCGATATGCAAATGTGCCAAATGGACATGTGAAAGTCATCTTTTCTTGATCCTCCGGAGCAACTGCAATTTGATTATATCCAGAATATCCATCAAGAAAGCAATAATGAGAATGACCAGCTAACCTTTCTAACATTTGATCTATGAATGGGACTGGAAAGTGATCCTTGCGTGTGGTGTTATTTATCTTCCGATAATCTGTACAGACTCGCCAACTATTTTGCACACGTGTAGGCACTAGCTCACTAGCTTCATTCTTAACAACTGTGACTCCGGATCGCTTCGGAACTACTTGAATAGGGCTCACCTAGTTGTTGTTCGAAATAGGATATATGATGTCAACATCAAGAAGTTTGATAACCTCTTTCTTGACAACCTCCATCATAAGTGGGTTCAAACGGCGTTGAGCTTCCCTTGTTGGTTTTGCACCTTCCTCCAGCAGAATCCTATGCATACATGTAGCTGGATTTATACCTTTGATATCTGCAATGCTCCAAGCTATGGCAGTTTTGTGATCCTTCAGTACCCGGATCAGTTTCTCCCCCTCTTCTGCTGTGAGTTGTGACAATATGATAACCGGTAACGTTTCATCCTCTCCCAAAAATGCATACTTCAAATGTTCAGGAATCGGTTTAAGCTCCAATTTAGGTGCCTGAATCACATAAGGAAGAGTTTTTTCGTTAGAAGTAGGAGAGAAATAAAATAGGAAGAACACTTACCACCAATTGGTGAAAGAGACTCAAGAGAGGCCACTGTTTGGATTAATTCTTCTTCAATGTGCTCTGAATAATTAAAATTTCCATGTGTAATGCTATGCATTAATGCCTTCTCTAAATTATCTTGTCCCACACCTTCATTAAAACAATCCTGCACAAAATAGTCAAACACATCAATAGACAAACAAGATTCTAATTCACTAGGATACCTCATAGCATTGAAGATTCTGAACTTGACGCTTTCCCCATCAATTTCCATGGTTAAGGTACAATCGTAAACATTAATTTTCGTACGTGCCGTTCTAAGGAATGGTCTTCCCAATATAAGAGGAAGTGCAGTAGGCATAGGGTCGTGTTCCATCTCAAGAACAAAAAAGTCAGCGGGAAAAATGAGCTCATTCACTTGCACAAGTACATCCTCCAATAGGCCTTTGGGATATCTATTTGAACGATCTGCCAACTGGATTACTATCTTTGTTTCCTTCAAGTCTCCTAGGTTCAATGACTCATACACTGAATATGGCATTAGATTGATGGATGCCCCCAAATCACACAATGCTCTCCCAAACTCTTTCCCTCCAATTACACATGGAATGGTAAAGCTACCGGCATCTTTCAACTTCAGTGGCAGCTTTCTCTGCAAAACAGCTGATACTTTCTCGCTCAATGCCACAATTTCTTGATCATTGAATCTCCTCTTGTTCGTACAAAGCTCTTTAAGGAACTTTGCATACTTGGGAACTTGTTTTATGGCATCTAAAAAAGTAAGTTCACTTGGACTTTCCGGAAAGTATCCAAGATTTCCTTATCAGTTTGCTCTTTCTTAGACTTCATAAACCTACGAGGAAAAGGAACAGGGACACATGAGTTAAATGAATTTTGAACTTCTTTACTTACCTTATCAGAATCTTTTTTGTTCAATTCTGTATCTTTAGAAGACTTTTCAGTTTCTGTTGAAGCCTCATCTTGCTCAAGATTCTTGGTTTGTAGCTCCCCTTGTTCAATTGTGTCTTTTCTAGTCCTCTTTTGCATCCTCGACTGCTCAAAAACTTCTTTTCCACTCCTTAAAGTCACAACATTCATCTGCTCCACATTTGGATTCACCACGGTTTTGCTAGGCAACCTTCCTGGTTGGTGTTGTTGCCCCATCAAACTTGCTAACTGACTCATTTGGCGCTCAAGGTTTTCAATTGCTTTGTCTGTTTTCTGTTGATGAGACTGAGTAGAGTTAGCTAAAGAAGCAATTAAATCTTCAAGAGACTTACTTGGAGCTTGTTGTTGTTGAGGCTGAAATGGTGCATGCGGTCTTGCTTGAAAGAAGCCAGGCGGACGGTTATAGTTGTTGGGAACAGATTGTTGTCTGTTATCTTGATTGTTCCACTTTAAGTGTGGATGATCGCGCCACCCCGCGTTATAGTTGTTGGAGTATGGATCATACTTTTGCCTTTGTTGCCATTGAAATCCTCCTAATGCATTAGTTTGCTCAAGACCACCTTGATCCATCAACGAAGGGCACATGTCTGTGGCATGTCCCATCATTAAACATACACCGCACACCTGTTTTGGAGCCACCATAACCTGTTGCACAAGATTAGTCAAGTTAGCTAATTGTAATTCAATACTAGAGTTAGCACTTACCTCGTTAACTTTCTTAAAAGGTAGCTCATCTCTCCCTCCAAATTGTCGTGTGTTACCAGCAATGTTCTTTAGCAATGCCTTAGCATTAGTTTGTGTCTTGTCCATGAATGCTCATCCACTTGCTGCATCAAGCATTACACGATCAGTACCACACAATCCCTCATAAAAATATTGTATTAAAAGATGCTCTGAAATTTGATGATTAGGACAAGATGCAACCAAATGTGTGAATCGCTCATAGTAATCTCCAAAGGGTTCTCCATGTTGTTGTTGGATTGCACATATGTCCTTCCTTATGCTTGCAGCTTTTGTGGCCGGAAAATATTGCTCTAAGAATGCTTGCTTCACCTGGTTCCATGTGTTCATTGATCCCGGAGGTAAACTGTAAAGCCACTCCCTTGCCTTGGCTTCTAATGTAAATGGGAATGCCCTCAACTTGACTTGCTCCTCATCCACATTTGCTGGTCTCATTCCCGAGCATACCACGTGAAACCCCATGAGATGCTTGTTGGCATCCTCTGTTGAGAAGCCATGGAACTTAGTCAAGTAGTGAATCATGCCGGACTTGAGCTCAAATCCTCCGTCTACATTTGGATAGGTGATGCACAATGGTTGTTGATCCGTATTCGGCGTTGCCAACTCCCTCAAAGTACGGTTATCAGCCATGCCTTCTTGTGGTTCTTCCTCCTCTTCAGAACTCAAATGAAGTGGAGAAGATGGTGGTAAGGACACCGATGCACGCTTCGGCTTGATTTTTCTCTGAAGCTTTCGAAGTGTTCGTTCAAGCTCAGGATCGTACGAAGCTAGATCAATGCTCTTGGACCTTCGAGTATGCATATACTACGAAGTGTACTTGAAATAAAAACAAAAACAAAAACACTAATGAGACAAGAAAAGAAAACAACAGAAAAATAAGTAATTAAAAATAACAATCCCCGGCAACACGGCGCCAAAAATTTGATAAGATTAAAAGCACACCACAAAGTAGCACACAAATGTCCTATTGATTTCCTTATTAATACTAAGATTTGTCAATTGTAGCATATGAAAATAAGGGTCTTTCCCGCAGAAGATTGTTTTATCTAACTACCTAAAATGTCACAAAAACTGGGTTGCTGTCCCTACTGACCAGCCACCGAAAAATAATTATTAGACCAACTTATACTTATCTAAAGTCTACGAACTTTTATATACAGATACTAGACACACAAAGCTACACTCACACAAATTTTTGGGATTTTTGGAGTTGATTTTCTATTTAAATTAAATCGAACAAAAACATGATAGAAACAAATTTTAAGTAGTTCACAAATTAAGAAAAACGAGTTAGGGGTATTGCTATCCACCACCAAATAATCATGCAAACACATTATGTTTCATTCAAATTTCTTTTATTTCCGGATGAAGATGCTCAAGTTGGCTCAATGTTAGAACTCAACCTATTACTCTTTCTTACGTAGTATGTTAAGAGAATGGCGTTTTCAACTTAACTTAGTTCCTAGCATGCAATCTAGAATGGCGTGTTCATAGATTTAACAAGAAGAAATCATTAAGAACGAAAAGAGTTTGAGTCATCACAAGGCATCGTAAGTACTAACGTTGTCTTACTTATCCTAGAAATTGGTTCACATGTTAATCGCAATTAACAAGTACTACTTTAGAACATATGTAGGTCCTCATTCGACAAGGGCAGGCACACACATATTCATAGCATTAGAATCCTAGATATGCTTACTACGTATGCATCCATAGAAAACAAATAAAGAATTCATCAATGAGACAAGTAGTGAACCAAGTTTCATCCATTCATAAAAGTAATTTAACGAAATGTCATAACAAAATTGCAATCATATTCGGGGCTTCAAAACAGCCCCTAACTTCTAAAAAATTAGTTACACATAGTTCTCAAAATAAACCAAAAGAAAGACATGAGTTTGAGAAGATAAAACCGAGAGAAGAGAATGCCAAGATTTCCTCCTTCCTTTCCTTCCTTTCTCAACGCAGCAGCCTTGCCTTTTTTCCTTCCTTTCCTTCCTTTTTTTTTCTATCTTTTTTTCCTCTAAAGAACTCCCTTTTGCTGCTGCAACCTGCAGCCTTTATGCCCATGCTTGCTGCCCCATTTCTACTCCATAACTCGCCCCACTAACAGCCATTTAGTGATGACAATAAGTGAGAGGAAATGGTAAAACAACTGTAACTTTTTGGGCAACCTTTATGCCAATTACTCCCACTTAATCCTCATCTTTAATTCCATTTCATCTGATATTTGAAGAGGTGTCAGCTAGCTTGTTCTTGGTTGCATCAGTTTTGGCTGCTAGTTTTATTGGATTTATTGCCTTCAATGCAGTTACAAACTGCTCAGCATCTTGGAAACCTTTCAGTGTTAAAATGGCCATAACTTCTTCTAAAAAAGTGATATTAACAATCCGCGAAATGCTCCAGAAAATAGACATCCGTAGCTTTCCAAGCATATAAGGCTCATTCTCTAATTCATTCTGATCTGTTCGCAACTTGCTTCCAAAGTCAGCTGATCTGCACAGGCAGTTTTGACGAATTTGTTACTTAATATCCAACTTGTGCTATTTTTGTTTTCTTTGCTTGACAAATCCTAGAAAACACAAAAACAAAGTAAATAGCTCAAAAATATAAGAAACTAACTAAGAAAAGACAAGTGAATTTGATGTAAAGTATATATAAATATGAGCTTATCAATCGGTATAAACAGAAATACTGCCCACTCACATGGAGTTTGCCCAACAACTCCCTAGCACAACACATCAAGGCGTCATGACGATCGGCACCTAGAACAATAATCAAATTCAACCTCAGAAATCATATCGATAGAATATATAACTTATATAAAACACGTCACTACGTAGTTTGATCCGGAAGATCTGCAACTCAGATTTCAAATCCATAACTTCCAAAGGTCCACAATATACCTCTAGGACAACATCCTAAAATTTCATTACCATCCAACGGTCGGATCTCCGTCAATTGTCAAAACCAAGTGACGGTTAACATTCTATTTTATGAACTTACAACTCCAATTCCGAAAGATCCGTAAATCGGATCCATAAGTTCCTATAATCCTTAAATATTACGTATTACAACGTATCAAAGTTTGGTGACGATCCGACGGTTGGATCGTAAATTCACATTTTCACCTAACCACGAATCGAAACGAACTTAGGTTCAATTACTCAATTTACGTCCATCAATTATCAAAACTGAACCTAGAACCTTAAACACATGCTAAGAATGACATTGGAAGGTCATTCGGCACGCGCCGCCACACGGGCCGCCGCGGGTGGCAATCGGCCGCCCCGGCTTGCCGGAAAATCCAACTATTTCCAAAAATTCTCAAAAAATACATAATTGAAGATCTCAATGAGTAGAGTAAACTTTATACCTGAGGCCAAGGTCAATTTGGCCTGGAAGAACTCCAATTTCACCAAAATCCATGCGGACCCTAGAATTGGGTGAGTTCCAATTCGTTCTCAAATCAACTCCGATGCTCCAACTAATGCTTGGGCTTTGTTCTGGGCCTCAATGGGAAGCTATGGGTGGTGGCAATTGGAAGCAATTGCTTCGCGATTGGGTGATTCGAAGCCAAAGCCGCCGCACCCCTCCCTGCGGTTTTCTCCATTTTCAAAGCCAAATCTCTCCAATTTGAGATGGAATGGGTAGAGGAAGGCTCCTAGAGTGTTTCCCATGAGGTTTCTTGAAGCAATTCGCCGGAAAAATGAGTGAAAATCGTCGGAAAAATAGAGATGGGTGCGCGGGTAAACGGGTTGGGGAAAAACCCGTTTCTGATCTTCTCTCCTCCGCTTCTCGCCCTCTCTCCTTTCCTCCTTTCCTCTGTTCCAATTGGCCATCCTCTCCTTCTCTCTTCTCCTGATTCGTCCCCTCCTTCTTCTTTCAGATTGGGCAGTTTTGCCCAATCCCATTTTTTTTTTCCTTTCTTCTTTCTTCCCCACTGCCCAATCCTCATTCTTCTTATTCTTCTTACGCACACACACCCACAAACCTTCTTCTCTCATCCCAGCCATCCATTTAATTCTTCATTAAATCTGGGCCGTCCATTATCATAAAAAAAATTCCAGATTTTACTAAATTATAATTCCTAAAATGCCCAAATTTCAAACGTTAATAAATTCTTCGATATAACTCCAAATCACGCACCTCTGCGCCCACGCGTCCGTAGCGACGAGTACTATGAGGATATGTCAAGAAAACAAATCTTAGATGGCACGACACAACGATTAACCTCGAATAATGCACGTGCCTCAAAGGGCATTTTTGTAAAATCCTTTATTAAAACTTTAAAACTCTTAAAATCAGGAACGGGCTGTCACAATCTACCCACCTTAAAAAATTTCGTCCTCGAAATTTACACAATCTTTACCATCCATCGATATCCATAAAACAACCTGAAACACCTCTCTTATTCGATCTTTTGTCTCCCAAGTAATTTCTTCTGCTGAATGATTCCACCATAAAACTTTTACCAAGTACACTGTTTAATTTCTCAGGACTTCCTCTTTCTATTCCAAAATAATCATGGGTTCCTCATTATAAGTCAAATCCGGATTAATCTCTAAGGGCTGAACCAGAATCATACACGACGAATCTGCTACTTTGTAATGAAGCATCAAAACATGAACTACACTATACACCTTATCCAATCCCGAAGGTACTCAAACTTGAAAGTATTTCACTGATTCCTTCAATAGTCAAAGACGGCCTGATATACTTAGGATTTAACTTGTCTTCCATTTCAACCCGAACCGCACCTTCCAAGGTGATAATTTCAAAAACATCCAATCTCCTGCATTACACGTCCGGTCAGTGGCATGTTTGTCTGCTAAGCTCTTTAGCTGATCCTGGCTAAGTTCCAAGTTAGACTTAATTACTTGAATATTCCGAGTAGTCTCCTCCACTAACTCAGGGCCTTGAATACCATCCGTCCACAATTCTAACAATTTCGAAACACAAGACACAACTTTCCACGGCCTTATGGCGTTGTTTTAGGGAATAAACTGAAAGGACCAACATACCCAAGAAGTTCAACAGATCCGTAAGCCCAAATCTCTTTTCCATAA